GGTAGCCAAGGCTACAGGTGGAGAGGGTACAGGTGGCCAAGGCTACCGGTAGCCAAGGTGTAGGTGGCCAAGGCTCCTGGTGGCCAAGGTGTAGATGGTCAAGGCCACGGGTAGCCAAGGCTACAGGTGGAGGGAGTGTAGGTCGTCAAGGCTACCGGTGGCCACGGTGTAGGTGGCCAATGTACAGGTAGCCAAGAGTCCAGGTGGCCAAGGTACAGGCGACCAAGGCTCCCGACAGTCGAGGTCCAGGTAGCCCGGGGTCCAGGTGGGGAGGGCTCAGGTGTCTGAGGCTCCAGGTGGCCAAGGTGTAGGTGGCCGAGGGTCCAGGTGGTGACCAAGGTACAGGCAGAGCTACAGGCGGTTGGCCAAGGCTCCGGTTGGCCAAGGGGACCCAGTTGGCCAAGGCTTTAGGTAGCCAAACTACGGGGAGCCAAGGCTACGGTTGGCCAAGGGTACAATTGGCCAAGGATCCAGGTAGCCAAGCTGTGGTTGACCATGGAGACGGTGGCCAAGGGTACAGTTGACCAAGAGTCCAGGTAGTCAAACTCTGGTTGGCCAAGGTTCTGGTTGGCCAAGGCTCCAGGTGACCAAACTCTGATTGGCCAAGGGTACAGTTGGCCAAGGGTACAGTCGGCCAAGGGTACAGTTGACCCAGGGTACAGTTGACCCAGGGTACAGTTGGCCAACAGTACAGTTGGCCCAGGGTACAGTTGGCCCAGGGTACAGTTGGCCAAGGGTCGGGGCAATCACGGCTCCAGTTGGCCAAGTCTCCTGTTGGCCGACCTCCCATTGGCCAGTCGAGTCTCCTGTTGGCCAAAACTATCACTGACCAAGCTCCTGTTGGCCAACCAAGCCTCTCATTGGCCAAAACTACCATTGGCCAACCTCCAGTTGACCAAGTCTTCCATTGACCACCAAGTCTCCCATTGACCAACCAAGTCTACCATTGGCTAACATCTTGTTGGCCAAGTCTTCTGTTGACCAACCAAGTTTCCAGTTGACCGAGTGTCCAGTTGACCAACCAAGTTTCCCGTTGACCAACCAAGTGTCCAGTTGGCTGAGACTCCTATTGGCCAACCTCCCGTTGACCAACCGAGTCTCAGGTTGACCCAGTGTCCCATTGGCCAACCAAGGCTACAGTTGGCCAGGTCTCCTGTTGGTTAACCAAATCTCCCGTTGGCCAGTCAAGGCTCCTATTGGCTAATTTCTTGTTGACCAACCAAGGCTACAGTTGGCCAACGCTACCATTGGCCAACCTCTTATTGACCAACCAAGGCTACAGTGGAAAAACCAAGGCTACCATTGGCCAACCTCTTGTTGGCCAATCTCCTGTTGACCAGCCAAGATTACCATTGGCCAACCCAGCCTCCTTTTGGCCAACTGAGGCTACTATTGACTAACCAAGCTTACAGTTGGCCAAGCAAGGCTACTGTTGGCCAACCAAGGATACTATTGACCAACCAAGGCTACAGTTGGCCAACCAAGGCAACCATTGGCCAAC